GAAGGGAGGAATTACTGAGCCTAACCAAAATGCAGAGCTAGGCTGACAAACTTAGTACCACACACTGATTCAGTCAATAGACATTTATAGATGCTCATTTTGTCCCATGTTCTCTATTGTGTGGCACCAGAGTAACTTAGATATGTCCTCTTACCCCTAAGGAGTTCACTGTCTTACTAATTGGTGCTGAACAATGTAATTGTGCCATTGCTACAATGAAGGGTGTACAGCGTGAAACTGGACCACTGGAAACATGCCTAGCTTTGCTTGGGGGAATTCAGTGAATACTCACAAAAGAGGCATCGTTTCAGCTTCTGGCTAAAACTTGGAAAATGTATAGGTGTCGTCTGCTGGTAGGTTGGTTAGAAATATTTCAGGAAGTTGGAATATGAAATGTGTGGGAAATGAATTAGACACACACATTCTTGACAGTCATTATGAGCATGTAAATCCCTAGAGAGGAAGGAACCCATTTTTTTTATTTTTTTTATTTATGATAGTCACACACACACACACACACACAGAGAGAGAGAGAGAGAGAGAGAGAGAGAGAGAGAGAGAGGCAGAGACACAGGCAGAGGGAGAAGCAGGCTCCATGCACCAGGAGCCCGACGTGGGATTCGATCCCAGGTCTCCAGGATCGCGCCCTGGTCCAAAGGCAGGCGCTAAACCGCTGTGCCACCCAGGGATCCCGGAACCCATTTTTTTAGTCTTGGTATACTCAGCAATGTAGCTTAGCACTATCCCTGCATAGTACCATAGTACTGTTAATTGATTTTGTAAAGCTCAGCTAGAAAGTTGAATATGTCATGGACAGCATGTGGCTTACTCCTCCTCACTTAATAAACATATATTGTGCACCTATTATGAATCAGGTCCTATGGGAGGAATAGTTATCCAGAAAATTGAGTCCTTTTGTTCCTGGCTTTGGGAGATTACCTGGAGTCAATGAAGCAGTTAGGCCCTTATAGGACAATGTGATGAATGTTTTAATAGGCATATACCTAGAGGACTGAAACTGCACACAGGGAGGGACCTGGCTCTGGAGGGTTGTGTGAAGTTTCGAGGTAGCCTCAAAAAAGTGACTTCTGAGGAAAGAATCAAATGATAAGAGGTAATGTGACATAGGGCAACTATACAACAGGCAATCCATGCACAAAGGTCTGATATATTTACAGAGCAAGTATTTCCTAAAAAAGGTGACAGCCAATAATGGTAGAAGAGGCTGAGAGGTGGCTGGGCCAGGCCATAGAATGCCTTTGTGTCATGAGAAAAGTCTAGATTTTATCTAGCAAAGGCAGCGGTGAGTCACTAATAATGGTTCAGATCAGTATTTTTTCAAAGAGCAGGTTGTAATCCACTAGTCAGTTGTAAGATTATTTATTGAATTGAGATCAGCATTTTAAAAAAAGTAACTAGAAAAAAACTGACAGCATTCATGTACATATATTTGTTAAGGTAATGTTTTGTGATGCTTTTACTTCAATTACACGTCTGTGAATAGTGTTCTGATGTAAAACATTTTTGAGAAACACTAAAGGTTCAGTGGCACAAATTAATTGCTACTTTTAGTAGCAATTAACAGAAAATCCTGTGCAAGTAAGAATAATCACTAAAGATTACTATATAGTTTCTTCTAGTTGTTCTGACCTGACATTGTCATCTTCATACTAAAGCCAGTTCCCCATGGCACTCAGAATAACATGCTACCTTTACACTTTTCCAGTAGAGACCAGATTCTCATTGCCTCAAATTAGTTTAGGCCGACCCATTCCTGAACCTGTTAATAGTAAGGGGATGGAAATACTAGAACTACCTTAAACTAATGAATGTTTGGGAACCAACTGCTGCAGCTGTAGGGAATTATAATGCAATGTGGCAAATTCAGTGTATTATGGAGATACTGTAGCAGCACCCAGGTTTACAAAGTAATGAACTTAGGTGGAGATGGTCAGAGGAGCCTCCCAGATGCCTGTGTATGTGTACAAATCAGCTAGGTAAAAGGAGAGTTCTCTGGGTGGAAGATACTGCATGAACACAAGATGATAAGGGGAGCTGTGCATAAGAAAAGTCAAAATAAGGACTTTCAGCCTTCCTGGGCATAAAATTAGAGGCAAGGGAAGTAAATGGAGTAGTGAATGTTTGGTTACCAAGGGGATCAGGTAAGGAAACCGGACTCTTTCCCCATAGGAAAGGAGGCACTGGAGATCATCAGGGAATTAGGACATCAGGTGTTTTTTTACTTCATTTGCAGTGTGGAGGGAGGCTTTTGCAGTAATCTGGGATAGAGAGGTTTTGGATTTTAGCTAGGGAGAGGTGACTGCAGATTTGAGAAACATGGAAATAAAACCAACAAGACTTGTTCAATTTTTAAATTGACGGTAGAATGTTTAAGCAGTGCCTGGCCATTTGTAGTTGTGTCTCCTTTGGATATTGGGCTTATATTGTGTCACTGATTTGTTGAGGCTAGAGTTAAGTCTGTTATTTTTTGGAGGAAGTGCACATAGCTGTCAGCCCTGCTGTAAAGAACTAGAGCCCGAGACAGAGAATCTCTGAAAGTAGGGAGGGAACTCCAATGTATCTGGGCCTGTCTTGTGGGTTTGGAGTTTATTAAAAAGGTGCTTAGAGGGCAGCCCCAGTGGCCCAGTGGTTTAGCGCCGCCTTCAGCCCAGGGAGTGATCCTGGAGACCTGGGATTGAGTCCCACGTCGGGCTCCCTGCATGGAGCCTGCTTCTCCCTCTGCCTCTCTCTATCTCTCATGAATAAATAAATAAATAAAATCTTTTTAAAAAAAGAAGTGCTTAGATGGATGAGGGCATGGTCCACCCAGGTGAAAAGTTACCATTTATAGGTCAGATTAGAAAATGGACATTGTTATTTATTTCTCTTGTTATCCGTGAGCCTCTAGTAAGCATTCTAGACTCATGTATTTTTTTTTAAAGGTTTTATTTATTTATTCATGAGACACAGAGAGAGGCAGAGACATAGGTGGAGGGAGAAGCAGGTGGGGAGCCTGATGCGGGACTCGATCCCAAGACCCCAGGATCATGATCTGAGCCAAAGGCAGAGGCTCAACCACTGAGCCACCCAGGTGCCTGCATGTACTCTTTTATGGGCCAAAATATTAAAGATGTAGTGTCCCTTAAAGCCATCATGGCAGCAGACGCGATGCTTTAGGTTGTGAGCTCCTTGATGGCAAAGGTGGTTTCTTCTCATCTCTACATTCTTAGTATCTAGCCTAGGGCTTGACATACGGCAAACACTTGATAAAGACTATATTCCTAGTGACTAAAATGATGGAAAGTAGCACATGCTTATTAAGCACTTAAGGAATTGTTGAAAACCCCCAAGGGAGGTCTGTTTCTGGGGACTAAGAGGAAAAGCTGAGATTTGAATCATAACCCACCTATGGTAATACTTAACAGATGTAGTTTTAATTTTTTTAAATGATTTATTTATTCATAAGAGACACAGAGAGAGGCAGAGACATAGGCAGAGGGAGAAGCAGGCTCCCTGCAGGAAGCCTGATGTGGGACTTGATCCTGGAACTCTGGTATCACGCCCTGAGCTAAAGGCAGATGCTCAGTCACTGAGCCACCCAGGCATTTCGTAGTTTTAATTTTAAAGGATGTACTTCTAGGAGTCAGGGATGATGACTCCAAGATATCTAGTTGAGGTTCATGCCAAGGACAGGAAGGAGGTGAATTTTGGGGAAACATTCAGAATTGTAGGTTTATTGACTAAATGCTTTTGAGTGTCTACCATGTCACTCAAAATGTCAGAAGGAGCTTTCTGGCAATACTGTGAAGGACAAATTAGAGGGAGATGGGAGAACCCTGTTGGGAACAGATGAATCTTAAGACTAGAGCAGCTGCAGTGAAATAGCACAGAATAGCTCTGTCCATGAAGCTAGTATCTTCTAGACCAGTGACCCCTTCCACCCTCACCCTTACTTGCTGATGATGGTTGGGTTTAGCAGGCCAAATACACTGTGAAGTTCCAGTCTGAGATAAAAATATCTTCTTTTTCACTGTACTAGCGATATGAAAACTGTTAGGCCTTGCTGTCAAGTGTACAGGCAGGGATAATAGTTCCAAGTCTTCCCACAGCTACTATCCTAGTCAAATCTCTGAGCCTGAGGAATGGGCAGCCTGGCTAGGCTAAGTCTGGCTTCACAATAATTAGTGGGTATAAAGGAGCTTCCTACTTCTCATACGCTTTGGCCATTCTGAAGCCGGATTTCCCTTTTCTGAGTTCCCAGAGAAGCCCAAATTTGACAACAATAAAAACTTCCAGGAAATTCCCAGCACATTTAACTTCCTAACCCTCCTCCCACCTCAACCCTCTCTTTATTCCCCCACCTCCTACCCCGTCACTCCAAGAGGAAGGAGCTTATCCTTTACTGAGTGCTTCTACCCACTTGGCCAGAAAGGTGGTGCATCTGAGTTCTCAGGTCCTCTCCTCTAAGGCCTATTCAGGGCTGAGAGGAGCACATGAGGGTAATATGTGATCCTGCTTAGAAACAGAGGAATAGGGGAACCCTGGGTGGCGCAGCGGTTTGGCGCCTGCCTATGGCCCAGGGCGCGATCCTGGAGACCGGGGATCGAGTCCCACGTCGGACTCCCGGTGCATGGAGTCTGTTTCTCCCTCTGCCTATGTCTCTGCCTCTCTCTCTCTGTGTGTGTGTGTGTGACTATCATAAATAAATAAAAAATTTAAAAAAAAAATTTAAGAAACAGAGGAATAGTTGTAGTGTTCTTCAAGTTTCCTAAGGTACCAGATTATTATGGAAGATTCAATTCTACATGTTCACTCTCCTATCCTGTCAGGACTTAAGTTTTCTCTAAGAAATCCCAGGGGTTCAGTCTCTATGCTAGATGTCAAAATTCAATCACCTTTGGAGGCCAGTTTGGAATAATAAGATACAAGCCCCATAAAAACTGGCATTAAGAAAAACAAAACTGTGCTAACCAAACACAACTCAGATCAAGAGCCAGAAACATAAGCAATGAATTTACTAACCCATGGAGACTGAGCCTTTGATTAGTTCTCATTCTCCAAAAATCTCAAGAGGAGAAAAAAAAACCCACCCTTATACATTCATATATTCACACAAGGAATTTTATCTATTCTGCAAAGAGATGATTATCTGGCTCCCCAGAAGCTTCTTGGCTCCATTAAGACTGTCCATTAACAACTCTAGCTCCAGTTCTTCTTAGAGATTAAAAGAGCTCCAAAATGATCATAGGCATTGATGAGTATGACACACACCCGTTTGGCTCCTGTTAAATCCCTGGTGTTTGAGCTGTGTGGGAGCCGTGGATGCTTGCTTTCTGGTCCTGCTGCAACCCCTGAAGCAGCTGGTTTAGAAGAGTAAGGTTGCTGTCTCTGCGAGGCAAGGGCAGGGGTGGGAGGCAGTTCCCTTTATACTCGATCACTGCCATCTTGGCCCGATCCTGCTTACTCCGATTTGGGATCTGCAGCATTCTCGTGTAGCCCCCATTCTGACCTTGGTAGCGAGGGGCCAGTACTTGAAACAGCTTTGGGATCAAGTCTTTCTCCTAGAGGGGGAGAGTTATCAGGGAGAGACAGAGTCAGGCACCACTGCTGAGACACAGTTAACTTTTAGCACTTGGAAAAAGTAGGGTCCAAACACATTCACACCGAACTCTTCCACCTCCCAATGTGGTCGAGTCACAGTTAACACTGAGGGGTTAGAGGCAATTGTGCAGGTTGTTGATTCACGTAACATTCAACTAGGTTAAGTCACACGTTTCTCATTTAGTTCACAGCATTTGTCCCTAAGTATCTTAGCTTAATTCCGTCCAGTTCCCCCTTCCTCTTACAGCCCCCTCCCACACAGGGAGCAAAGGCTGGGACGTGGGAGGCAGACAGGACGTACTCACCGTAAGCCAGAAGTCAGCCATGCGCATGGCCTGTTCGTTGGTGTCTCCCAGCTTCCCATAGTCGATGAGCTGCGAGGACATAACATTACTGATCCAACCCGGGCAAGAATGGAGGCGCCAATCTTACTGCTCTAATGCCCCAGGGCAACCCATTCGTTTGACCTCTAATTCGGGCCACCCCTAACTCCGCGGCTCTGTGCAGTCGTCCATTTGAGGGCCTGGAGGAAGAAGGCTCAACTCGGGGTACTAGGGGGCTCAGGCTTCGGGCAGCGATCGCCAGGGTACCCTCCTCCTCCCCCAGGGCAGCCACAGCTCCCGCCAGAAGCTCGCGGGGCAGAGAAGGGCCCGCCCCCGCCCCCGCCCGGCGCGGCCCCGCCCCTCACCTTCTCGGCGTAGCCTCTCATTTCGTCCACGCGCGCCCATGAGGCCTCTATGCGTTCGTGTCGCACGAGTCCTGTAAGCAAGTTCCGCAGCAGGTGGATACGGGACTCTGGACCAAGGCCCAGACGGCGAAATACACGACCGTGAGAGATGGCTGCTGCCGCCGACAGCCGCATATTCCCCACCTTCTGTCCGTCCCTGTGAGGCCGGAACTGGAAATTCGAACGGGGGGGGCGGGGCGGGGCGGGGCGGAGATGCCTCGGAAACGGCCTTGAGAGGACGCATGCGCCGTGCCTCCGTGCGTGGTGGACGTGTTTGCGCATGAGCATCGGAGCCTGCCTCGCTGGCAGCCTGGGGGAGGGCGGGGAGGAGGTGTTGGCTTCTTCCAGGGGAGGGCAGGGGAGGGCAGGGTTGGGGAGCGGGGCGGGCCGCAGGCGCTGCTGGTCGGGCCGGGGAGCCGCGCGCCCTCTAGCGTGGGACAAAGCGGCCGTCGAGTTTCTCGCGGGCTGCGTCAGTCTTGCGGCCTCCAGGGCGAGGGGAAGCTCCGCCGTGGAGCCTGCCGGGAAAGTGAGTATCCCAGCGGGAGCGCTCCCCGCCCCCCCGCCCCCCCGGAGCCCGGAGCCCGGAGCCGCACCCGCACCGGCCGGCGGACCCGGGTCGAGCTCGGGCGTCTGACCCCCCGAGCGTGTCTTTGGGTCACAAAATTATTTTTCGTAATAACGGGGAAGCGAAACCAATAGCAGTGATGCTCAGAGAAGCGCAGATACTGAACATTTTCTTTCGTCGGAGTACAATGTAATAACCCAGTTAAAGTACAGCAAAGGCAAAAGTAATGGGTTAATACTTCTTAATTGCATCCATTGTGGGTTTTTTTTTTGAAAAGGTGAGAAACATACCTGTGCATTGGTGTTAATGTTCAGTGACGTTCTAGTTTCTGTTTCTGAACAGTCCTAATGTCTGCAAATTCGCAATTATTTTGTCAAAATTATTCCTTGTTGTGGGTTGAATGGGGTCTCCCCCTCCCCCCACCAAGGAAGATCCTTAAGCCCCAACGCCTCCCAACCTCCACCGCACTCCCCGCAGAATAGGACCTTTTTTGGAAATAGGGTTATTGGAGTTGCAATTAATTATTAAGATGAGGTCATACCGCAGTGGAGTGCGCATCTAATCCAAGTGACTGGTGTCCTCAAGAAACAAAACAAGTGGAGAGACAGACATTTGGCATGAAGACAGCCATGTGAAGACTGGAGACCCACGGGGAATGAGAATGCCACCGGACCAAGAAGTCAGAGATGCCAGTTAGGCATCTGGGAGCCCAGGACCACCAAGGATTTCTGGCAAACACCTGAAACTAAGAGGAAGACGTGGAACAAAATTATCCCTAGATCCTTGAAACAATTATCCCTAGGAGACTCATACACTGGTCTTCACATATTCATGTTTAGTAGCTAGCACGCTTAGACTTATCACTCTGTCATCACTCATGGGTGACCACAGAACGCTTCTTGTTAATTTTAATTTTGGAAAGTTTCATCTGAAGTAGTCAGGAGAAGTCTCATATGGATCCATGGCATAGATTTATACAAAGCCTATATCACAATAAATTCCTGAAATTAGAATATTTATTACTATTTACAATATCTGTGTCTTATTTTTTTGGGGGGGGGTCAATTCTTGCAGCTTTCAGGATTTCCACAATTGAAAATTCGTCATAAATTTCTATTGGTAAAGTCTTATGAAGAGTTTCTTCTGAAAAAGTTCAAGAGAAGATGAACGGACATGTTATTTAATCCTTTGCTTTAGAAGGAGTGTCCACTTTGTGAAAATGTTTCTTATTTTTGGCCATGAAAGCCATCATCTCTTGTCTCTTCTGGTAGTCCTCAAATTTTGATTCCTTTGTCAATTTTTTTAAAATTTTGTTGTTGCATAGTTCGTAGCTTTCTCCACAATTTCTGTGAGCTGGTATTCATGGAACAATTTCACTTTATTTAAAGATTTTATTTATTTATTCATGAGAGACACAGAGAGAGAGAGAGAGAGGCAGAGACACGAGCAGAGGGAGAAGCAGGCTCCATGCAGGGAGCCCAACATGGGACTCCATGGTCTCCTGGATCACACCCTGGGCTGAAGGTGGCACTAAGCCGCTGAGCCACCCAGGCTGCCCTCATGGAACAATTTTAAACCTCAGTGTTTTACTATATGTTGTTCAAGGCTTATTCTGGTGGTTTGCAGATAGTTTTATGTCTTGTTGACCTCATACAAAACGTTACCTTATTAAAAAGAAACTTGGAAAAATCTTGTGCAACTAAAATTGTTTAAATTAACTTTTAAAAATAGGGCTATGTTCTACTAAAAGGGTTGGAGTCCAAAATGTGCCAGAAGTGAATTTGGAAGATCATAAATTCTTATGAATTTACTTGAAAAGTAACACATGTGGCCAGGTTTGACTGTAATTGATAGTTCCTTAAATTAACTTTCATGTAGAATAAAATATTTATTACTGAATTAGTTTTAAAAAGTGATAATTTGGGGTGCCTGGGTGGCTCAGTCGGTTAGGCATCTGTTTTTGGTTCAGGTCATGATCCCAGCGTCCTGGGATCGGGGCCCCAGGTCAGGCTCCTTTCTCAGTGGGGGCATCTGCTTCTCCTTCACCCTTTACCCCTCCTCCCTGCTTGTGTTCTCTCTCTTTCAAATAAATACATAAAATCTTAAAAAAAAAGTGATAATTTGAAGCCTACATAGATATTATTATAACTCAGCAGTAAGTATAACAACTGTTTAGAATTCAGGCTAACAGATTTTTATGTGAGGGTTAGTGTATCTCTCTCTCTTTTTTTTTAAAGATTTTATTTATTTATTCATGAGAGACAGAGAGAGGCAGAGACACAGGCAGAGGGAGAAGCAGACTCCCTGTGGGGAACCCGATGTGGGACTCGACCCCCGGACCCTGGGATCATGACCTGAGCCAAAGGCAGACGCTCAACCACTGAGCCACCCAGGAGTCCCGGTTAGTGTATCTCTGACACTGTTTAGTATTGTCACATAAGGTGATAAAAATCAGGTTGACTATTGGTTAGTTTTATTACTATTAATACGATCCTTTATAGATAGTTTACCTCCTTATGGAAGGGCAGATTGCTCCTACCTCCCCATGAGATAACAAATGGCTCTGAGTGTCCAGCTGAGCCTCCAAGGAAGGTATTCAGATAAATCTGAGTGTTCTGGGTGATCCAGGACTTGGAATAACTCTCCTGAGAGTCCAAGTTGAGCCCCTGAAGTGGCGTTGGTAGTGACTGCAGCTAGTCTGGCAGAGGTGAGGAGAGTAGTCCCAAGCAGTGTTCTGCAGTGCTCTGCAGCAGCTGAAGAAGAAAGACCCCAGTCTGTAGAAAATTGTTATACATGACATTTCATAGCTTATGCTGGAAGAAGAATCTGGCCGTGGCCTTGGCCCTTGGACCTGCCCACACTACTGCAGAGAACCTGAGTGTAATGTTGTGATATAATGTGTGTGTGTGTGTGTGTGTGTGTGTGTGTGTTTAGTCTTTGTCCAGGTTCCTCTCACAGAGCAATAGCTCTTAGAATTTCCTAAGTGATGGGAGTGAAAGAGTGTCTTTTATTATTCATAAAAGCCCCTTTCAACCATACGTGAGTTCATGCTAATGAGGTGACTCTAGAAGGATGGGGGCTGGTTAACAGAGAAACTAATCATGTGATTAGAGTGATTAGAGGGTTGGTGCTTTCCCTTCCTTCTGGAGAGGCTGGAGATTGACCTAATCGCCAATCTCCAATGATCTAGTCAGTTGTGCCTGTATAAGACCCTTAAACAGTGGGGTTTGGGGAGCTTCTGGTTTGGGGAGCACACTGAAGTGCTGGGAGATTTATCATGCCCAAAGAGGGCATGGAAGCTCTGCACCCCTTCTTATATACCTTGCCCTATACATCTTTCCATTTGGCTGTTCCTGAGTTATACCTTTTATATAAACCAGTAATAGTAAGTAAAAGTGCTTTCCTGCCATTCTAGCAAATTATCAAATTTGAGGAGGTGATCATGAGAATCCCCATTTTATATATAGCTGGTTAATTAGAAACATAGGTGACAACATGGGATTTGGCAATTGGCATTTGAAGTGAGGTGACTGAGCCCTTAACCTGTGGGGGTCTATGCTAACTCTGGGTAGTTCCTATCAGAATTGGCTTGTGGAACTGCCACTTGGTATCTATAAGGAATTTGATAATTGCTTGGTGTGGAAACATACATATTTGGTATCTGAAGTGTTTTAAGTAGAGAAATAATCTTTTTCCTGTACTCTGAATAACTACATCCTGTTTTTTTTTTTTTTTTTAAAGGTTTTATTTGCTCATGAGAAACACAGAGCAAGAGAGAGAGAGAGAGAGAGGGACTCCATGCAGGGAGCCCAACAAGGGACTGGATCCCAGGTCCCCAGGATTACAAACTGGGCTGAAGGAGGCACTAAACTACTGAGCCACCCAGGCTGCCCAACTGCATCCTATTCTGTTGAAGCTTCTATGAAGCAATGTCTTGGGAGCCAGTATAGGGAGTTTAGCAAGGAATGTGGTGATGATAGTGGGAAGCAATTGTCAGACCCTAGGCCAACTTGTGGTTCTATCCCTGGAATCCTGAATGTCTAGAGTTGTACTCAATCATGAAGTGTCCTCATTTATGATATGTGTTTTGCTTTCAGGTGAGGATCTTAAAACTGCTTTTGATCCAATGTTCTGGTAAGGATTAGACAATGACAGACCCGGTTTCTGGTATCAGAATTGTGATCATATTAAAATCAGTTAAAATGAGTTTTCCATAATTAGAGTCATCAGAATATTGAGGAAAACTGTAAATCAAACACATTCCAAATGGAAACAAGAAACTATAAGCAGTTGAATTTAGGAAAATAAGTTACTGACATATGGATCTAAAGTTGAGGTGGTCCAGGGCTGTAGAGAGACATAGAGTTTGGATGGAAATCAGCATAATTGTCTGTGGTGATAGTTCCCTTTCAAAATGATGACTAGTTGTTTCCAGCTTGGCTTACTTGCTTTATGTGGAGTTCTTTCCCCCTCCCTGCTTCATTTCCTTCTATTATTAGTGAGATGAACTGCCTGCTATTGAGATTATAAGGTCCTTCAAGGTCAGGAAAGGACTCTGACTCAGGCATCTCCTCTCCCAATCATGCTTTTCAACCTCCAGCATAGTTCTGTGCTTTTT